TTAAATACAGGAAACTCCCAGGTCCACCACTGAATGGGGGAGGGAGAGAATGGATAAAGCATTTATTAAAGTTCCTACCACATGCTAGTCACAGTGCTGAGTGCTTTACACACATTATCTCATACTCTCAGTAAAGCCCTTTGTACTTCACTCCCACCAACGTTTTCATTTATCTGTTCTTCGTTCCTATCTGTGACCTTGTGTGTTTAACCTTTAGAAGCTGTGCTTCTGCCAGTGCTAAGTAACAGCTCTGCATTCACAGTGTGCAACAGTGCCTGAAAAGGCAGAGAGAAGTCCTAACACAGGGGTGGGGAACCTGTGGCCTTGAGGCTTCATGTGGCCATCTAGGTCCTCAAGTACAAAACTGGATGCAGTCAAAGGGCCACACGTGGAACCTAGAAGGCCACTTGTAACCTCTAGGCTGCAGGTTCCCTACCTCTGTGACCTAAGTCTATAAGAGGGAAGAATGGAAGAAGATCATTTGGTGCTAAATGATAGGTATGGGATTAATCTTAGGGAGAAATTGTATTCTCTAAGTATAAAACAGAACCTTGTCCTGTAATAAGGAAAGATTTGGATCAGTGAACAAAATGAGACCCTTGTGTGTATGTGTCATTCCTGCCTCAGGTGTACCAACGTAGTTATTTGTTAGCTAGACATAGATCAGAAACCTCTGTTACTTTCCTACCATGTATACTTGGGATATGACAAAAAAAAATAAATAAAACCTCCTGAGACTTATTAAAACTAATGCCACTATTCTTGGTGGTACTGCCAGAAGGAATCTAAAAGTCATTACTGAGACCTATGAAGGCCTGGGAAGGAAATTGATCTCAGGTATATCCATGGTGTTCTTATTACTGCTAGCATTTAAATGTAAGAGCCTCAGAAAAGAGTTGGATTTAGGAAGTGAACACCTAGATAAAAAGAAGGTATCTGTACTTCTGGGCCATACCTTAATATAAAGTCATGCCAAATTCTTGATCAGGTATAGAGTATACCTAAAAAGGGCCTAAAATACGTTTGCTGGATGGCTTACAAAGCTGAACAAGACTACTTTAAGCCAAAGAGGAAAGGACGAAGCTCTCTGAATATAGTTAGATACCTTACAGTAGAGAGTACAACATAGGAAGAAAAAGAGCAGTGGAGAGGATTAATAATCCATAGGAGACAATATCTAAGAGTAAATACAGTAATTTTTAAAAACAGCTTCTGATCACCATCCACAAAATACAGTCAATAGGTAAAGTAATGACCTTAATGCAGGGAGGCAAATTTAACCCTTATGTGCATATGACTTTATAGGTTAGGCCTCATGACTGAGATAACTTATAACTGAGGCAACTTTATGGCTCAGTGCATAGCAAGCTGGGACTAGAGTCAGAATGACCTGAGTTTAAGTCCATTCACAGATACTTACTAGCTGTGTAATCCAGGGCAAATCTCTTAACTGCTATCTGACCATTTCTTGGGATAGCTGGTAAACGATGGTGGAGAAAAGGCAGAAATACTTAACTCCTGTTGTGTTTTTGTTTTTCTGCCAAGGAGAATGATCTTCTTGGGGTTGGAAGGTTAGAGAAAAAGTGACTAACAGGGAGTTGAGCCTAAGATAAGTGAGGAGGTGATAATAAAACATCCCTTTTAAAATGGGAATAATAATAGGACCTAATTCCCCCGGGGTTGCTGAGAATATCAAATGAGATAATACATGTAAAGCACTTAGCACAGTGCCTAGCTCAGAACAGGCACCTAAATATTTATTGGCTGAATAATTGATGTGGGATCTCAACAATTAAAATTTCCTCTTGGATTCTGTCCTTGCCAAAAGTAGAGCTAATACAGACTGATTAATTGTAATGACAAATCTTGGTCCAGAAAACTTGATGAGGAAACACTCTTCCTCCCTAGTAGAGGAACAGGTTATGAAGAATGGGTGCTATAAATTCAGAATATGGCAGATTGCTTTTTCTCAAATATTTCTCTTTTGTTTTTGGGGGGGATAGGGTTGAGGGTGGGTGGATGGGAACAGGATTAAAGAGAAATGATTGGTCACAAAAACAAAACAGTTTAAAAGTCAAGCTGCTGATAACATTTTTGACTTGCCTTAATTAAATTCAACAAATATTAAGTACCTACTACATGTGAGGTACTGTACATGTGCTGGGAATATAAAAATTAAAATAAGCCTTGCCGTCAAGAAGTTTATATCCCATTGGGAGAACACAGCATGGTTTAGATAAGAATAATATAGTATAAGAAATGAAAGGGGTAAAGGAGAGATCTAAAGATATTTTTATATAACCTAGTTAGTATACTTGGAATCAGGAAGACCTGAGTTCAAAATTGGCCGCAGACACTAGCTGTGTGGCCATGGACAAATCATTTAGCCTCTCTGTGGCTCGGTTTCCTTACTTGTAAGATGATGATAATAATAGCACCTAGTTCCCAAGGTCTGTTGTGAGGATAAAATGAGATAATGGTTGTAAAGTACTTTGCAAACCTTAAAGCCCCATATAATACTAGCAAATATGATTGCAGTAGCAATTTGAGGAGTGAAAAAACACTGATGATTGTGGGAATTGAGAGAGCACCCTGAAGGAGTTAGCACCTAAGAAGAGCCTTCTGAAGGAGGATAAAGATTCTGAAAGGCCAAGATGAAAATGCTTCCCAGGAATGGGAGAAAGCTTCTATGACTCACAGAAATATGAGATGGCCTGGCATCATTAGGAAATAGTTAACAGTACAGTTTGGCTGTAACCTAGGGTGCTTGAAGGGGAGTAATGTAAAATAAGACTGGAGGCTAAGGTCAGAGCCAGAGGGGAGGGTCTTAAATGGCAAACTAAAGGATTTTAAGTCATGATGTGCAAAAGGATCGCCAGAAAAGGTCTGAGACCACTTCTTGGGATAGCAGGTTCATATGGTAGAGAAAATACGGGAATACTTAACTCCTGTTGTATTTTTGTTGTTTTTGTTTTTCTGCCAAGGAGAATGATCCTTGGATTAGGAAGGTTAGAGAAAAAATGACTAACAGGGAGGTGAACCTAAGATAAGTGAGGAAGTGATAATAAAACATCTGGCTGCTCTCAGTAACTTCATGTTACTAGGGCTGGATGAGTAACCCCAGGGTATGGAAAAACTGGCAGAAATTACTGCTAAATCCTCTCATCGTCTTTGAAAGTTGAGGAGAATGGAAGAGATGCCAAAGGACTAGAAGAGAGCCTTCATCCCACTTTGTTAAAAGAAAAAAAACAAAGATGGAGTCTCGAAAGCTCCAGTGAGCTTCAAGAAAAGAAAACAGATTGCTAAGAGACAAGCCTTCTTTGTTTCCTCTTTTGACATTAAACTGCTAGATTAGCCGAATGCTGTAGGGAGACAAACTTAATCTGAAAGCATTTGACAAAATCTTCAAAGTGATAGAAGTTACAAAGCAGCACATTTAGGCTTTGTATAAGGAAAAGCTTCTTAAAAATTAAAGCCATCTAAAAGTGCAATAGGTTTACCTTGGGAGAGAATGGATTGTCCCACACTGGAAGACTTCAAGCACTTTGGGATGTTACAGAGGGAAATCTTTCAATTATGGTTTGGACTAGATAGTCACTTTGTTTCAATTCTGAAATTCTGTGATTCTGCTATATTTAAGGTTTGACCTTAATGACAGTATAGTTAAATGGATTCAGGATTGGTTGAATGACTAGAATAGTCATGAGTTGATATCAGCTTTAAGGACCCCTATTGGAGTGCCTGTAGGATATGTTTGTGGCCCTGTGGTGTTCAGTATTTTTTAATCAATGACTTAGATTCTAATCAATGACTAAGATTCATGGAACAAATACCTTTAATAAAAGGATTTGTTCTATAAAACTTGGACTCAGTCCAAAGGCACACCCAAGGGCCTAGAAGGCCACATGCAGTCCCAGGTTCCCCACCCCTGACTTAGAATATAGATATCAAGTTTATCAGATTTGCGGGTAACATCGATTTAGGAAGAATAACCAACATTTTGAATGACAAGTGATCTCAAGCCAAAGTTGTAGGCCAAATCTAAGAGGATAGTTAATCATGCTTTTGACTTCACCTTACACTTGGGTTTAAAATAATCTCATAGGATTGGAGGGACACGGCTGGACACCAGATCATGCTAAAAATATCTGTTGTTTTTAGTGGTCTACAAGCACAATATGACTCAACATAGCAGCCAAACACCAAATTGATCTTAGATTGCAATAAGAAAGGTGTAATATGCAGATTAAGAGAGATGATAGACCTGCTATATTCTGCCATGGTCAGACACATTTGGAGTTTTGTATAAGTCATAGTAAGAATAACATTGATAAAGGTGGAGGGTGACCAGAGAGGTGTAAAGCTCTGAGACCATAATACATGAAAATTAAGGAATTTTGGATAGTTATCTTAGAGAAGAAATGACTTAATGGGTAATATGGGAGCCCTCTTAAAGTATCTGGAGAGGATCATGTGGAAGAGGAATTCAATTTCTTCCACCTGTGTCCAGAAGGCAGAACTTGGAGCAGTAGGTTGAAAGATCGATGGAAGGAAAACTTCATAGCAGTTTGAATTGTCTAAAAATAGAATGGGCCACAAAATCATGTGGATCTGAAAATGTTTAGAAATGATGAGATTTTTTTCCCCATCTTTTCAACCACCTTATATAAAAATAGGTTATACTGTACTAGGGCCTGGTAGAAGACAGAACCTTATCAACAGGGATGTCACTTTCCACACCAAGGAGTTGTCAGTTTCATATAAATCAAACTGGAATCCTGGGCTGACTTTTACTTCTTTAAAGTAGAAATATCCTATAATAAATGTAGTTATAACTATAAAATATCTTCAAAGTATACTTTCTCTTTGGATCAGTCATTTATTTTCAGAAATTTTGTGTATCTTGAACTTTAGTTTTGCAAATCCAGACTTATAAAGTGATGAATTGTAGTGACTTGAACCTTTTAGTAACCTATGTTGTGTTGCTCTGATTGGTACAGAACCTGATACACTGCACAGTCTTTGCAACAGTGGATGAATATCATCTTGGTAATCTATCTCATGAACTAGGATCTCATGAATATATGGAAATAACCAACTTCCCTAGAGGTATATTTTTAATAAGAAATATGGATTTGTTAAAAATGTATTTGAAATAGAATTTGTTTTAAAGAAATAGTTGTCTATGCCTTATTTATTTCATGAATTATTATATCAACGTTTAGTACCTGCAGTCAATTAGTCACTTTACACAAATAAGATATTTATATAAAAAAAGAATAATGTATTTGAACATAAGCCAATTGTCTTAGACAAAAATAGCAATTTTTAAGTAATTTATTTTTAGTTTTCAGCATTCACTTCCATGATATTTGAGTTTTATATTTTCTCCTCCTTCCCCTCCTCCCCCTTCCCCAAGATGGTATGCAGTCTGATATAGGCCTTACTTATACATTCATATTAAACATATTTTCACATTAGTCATGATGTGAAAAAGAATTAGAACTAATGGGAGGAACCACGAGAATAAAGCAATAAAACAGCAAAGGAAAAGGACAGCACCTAGTATGCTTCCATCTGCATTCAGACTCCAAAGTTCTTTCTCTGGATGTGGATGGCATTTTCCATCATTAGTCTTTTGGAGTTGTCTTAGATCCTTGCATTTCTGAGAAGAGCTAAGTCTATCAAAGTCAGTCATCGCAACAATGTGATTGTTACTGTGCAATTCTGTGATTACTGTATAATCTCTTGGTTCTGCTCACTTCACTCAGCATCAGTTCATACAAGTCTTTCCAGGTTTTTCTGAAGTCTGCCTACTTATCATTTCTTATAGCACAGTAGTATTCCATTGCATTCATATACCACAACTTGTTCAGCCATTCCCCAATTGATAGACATCTCCTCAATTTCCAGTACTTTGCCACCACAAAAAGAACTGCTATAAATATTTTTGTACATGTGGGTTTTCTTTTTCTTTTATAAATCAAATTAACCAATAGTTTATCTATTTTATTGTTTTCCCCCAACAAAATCAACTCTTCGTTTTATTTATTAAATGGTTTTCTTACTTTCACTTTTATTAATCTCTTCTTTGATTTTCAGGATTTCCAACTTGGTGTTTAATTGGGGATTTTTAATTTGTTCCCTTTCTAATTTTTTTAGTTGCATGCCCAATTCATTAATCTGCTCTTTCTCTGTTTTATTAATGTAAGTGTTTAGAGATGTAAATTTTCCCCTAAGTACTGCTAGCTTGGCTACATCCCACAAATTTTGGTATGGTATTTCATGGTTGTCATTCTCTTTAATGAAATTAATCATTGTTTTTATGATTTGTTCTTTGGCCCACTCATTCTTTAGGATTAGATTATTTATTTTCCAATTAATTTTTGATCTATGTTCATGTGGTTTATTGAATGTAATTTTTATTGCATTATCATATGAAATAGATGCATTTAATATTTCTGCTTTTCTGGATTTGGTTGTAAAGATTTTTTGCCCTAATGCATAGTCAGTTTTTATGAGGGTGCTATGTATCACTGAGAAAAAGGTATATTTCTTTCATTCCCCTTCAGTTTTCTCCAGAGGTCTATCACTAACTTTTCTAAACTTCTCCTTAACTTCTTTCTTATTTATTTTTTGGTTAGATTTATTTAGTTCTGAGAGGGGAAAGTTGAGGTTCCCCATTAGTATAGCTTAACTGTCTATTTTATCCTATAACTCGTTTGACTTTTCCTTTAAGAATTTGAATGCTATGCCACTTAGTGTATATATGTTTAGTACTGATCTTACTCTATTAGTGATGGTACTTTTTAACATATTGTAGTTTCCCTGCTTATCTCTTTTAATTAGATCTATTTTTACTTTTGCTTTATCTGAGATCATGATAGCTACCCCTGCTTTTTTTACTTTAGCTAAAGAATAATATAGTCTGCTACAGCATATTGTTGGATTCTGGTTTTGAATCCATTCTGCTATCTGCTACAGTTTTATGGGTGAATTCATTGCATTCACATTCACAGTTATGGATTATTATGTATTTCCCTCCATCCTATTTTTCCCCCTCTTTATCCTACTCTCTCTCTTTTTGCCCTGTCCCTCCTCAAAAGTCTATTTTGCTTCTAACTACTCCCTTCCTTTATCTGCCTTTCCTTCTATCAGTACCCCCTTCTCTTATGCCCTTCCCCTCCTACTTCCCTGTGTAATATAAGCTCCTATATCCAATTGAATATGTATGTTATTCCCACTTTGAGCTAATTTCAGTGAGCATAAGGTTCAAGTGTTGCCTGCTACTTCCCATCTTCATTCCACTGTAAAAACTCTTCCTTTCACACTCTTTTATGTGAGATAATTTTGCCCATTCTACCTCTCCCTTCCCCATTCTCCCAGTGAATTCTTCTTTCTTACTCCTTAATTGTATTTTTTAAAATCATCTCATCATAGTCAACTTACACCCATGTTCTCTGTATGTGTATACTCCCTCTAACTGTCCTAATAGTGATAAAGTTCTTAGGAGTTGTAAGTCTCGTCTTCCCATATAGACATGTAAACAGTTTAACCTTTTTGAATCCCTTACGATTTCTTTTTCATATTTACGTTCTTATGCTTCTCTTGTGTCTTGTATTTGAAAGTCAAATTTATTCAACTCTGCTTTTTTCATCACGAATGCTTGAAAGTTCTCTATTTCATTCAGCATCTATTCCGCGCCCCCCCCCCCCAAGGATTATACTCAATTTTGCTGGGTAGGTGATTCTTGATTGTACTCTAGCTCCTTTGTCATCCAGAATATTATAATCTAAACCCTCTGATGCTTTAATGTAGAAGCTGCTAAATCTTGTGTTATTCTGACTGTGACTCCACGATAGTTGAATTGTTTCATTCTGGCTGCTTACAATATTTTCTCTTTGACCTCAAGAATTTGGCTATAATATTCCTAGGAATTTTCATTTTGGGATCTCTTTCAGGAGCTAGTTTCCTTGATAATTTCTTGAAAGATGATGTCTAGACTTTTTTTGATCATGACTTTTAGATAATCCAATAATTCTTAAATTATCTCTATTCAATTTGTTTTCTAGGTTAGTTGTTTTCCCAAAAAGATATTAAATATTTTATTCCATTTTTCTTCTTACGATTTTGTTTTATTATTTCTTGATGCCTCATAGAGTCAGTAGCTTCCACTTGCCCAATTTGAATTTTTAACAAATTCTTTTCTTCAGTGAATTTTTATACATCTTTTTCCATGTGGCCTATTCTGTTGTAGTTTATATATATATATATATATAATATATTTTCTTCAGTATTTTCAGTGACTTCTTTATTACCAAGCTGTTGACTCCTTTTTCACAGTTTTCTTGCATCACTGTCATTTCTTTTCCCAATTTTCCCTTTATCTCTCTTATTCAATTTTTAAAATCTTTTTTTGGAGCACTTCCAGGAATTCTTTTTTTGTGGGCCTGAGACCAATTCACATTTTTCTTTGAGTCTTTGGATGTAGCAGTTTTTCCTTTGTTGTCTTCTTCTGAGTTTGTGTTTTTAATCTTCCCTGTCACTATAGTAACTCTCTATGGTCAGATTCTTTTTCTTTGTTTGTTTGTTATTTGCTAATTTTCACAGCCTATTTCTTGACTTTTAGTTTCATATTAAAGTTGGGCTCAATTCTCAGAGTGGAGGAGTCACTGTCCCAAGCCTCAGGTGTTTTGTCTATCTGTTTTCAGAACTAGTTGTGGAAGTCTGTAAGTTTTCTGTTCTTCTGATCTAAGAAGAGGTATGTTTATTACTTTTCTGGCCTGTGTTCTGGTCTGTGAGCAACCACCAGCATTCTTTACTGCCCTGGAACTATAACCAGGGTCCTCACTGCCGTGGGCTGTATGCTCTATTATGCTGTGCTCCATCTTGCTCTAGGACTGTGACCCCAGATCTGAGCATAGGCAATATAATAGAGTCTTGTACCCAGTGCCAGCAAAGGGACCCCTGTCATCTCCTTCTGACCGATTATCCAACCCCCTTGCCCTCTGTAGGCCAAGAGCTCTGGAAACTGTTGCTGATGCTGCTGATTCAGTTGCCTCCAAGGCCTACTTCTGGTTTTCTGGTTTGCCAGGGTACAGCCTGTGCTGGACTGCGCTCCTCCCTCACCCCAGTGCAACAGACTTTCCTGCCAAACTTCTAAGTTGTCTTAGGCTCTAGAATTTGTTTTGAGGGGAATTTATTAGTGCTCAGAAGAGTCCCTGACTTTTATCCACCAACTGGGCTCCTGACTCAGGAAAATAACTCTTTAAATATTAGGATGGTTGGGGCAGCTAGGTGGCGCAGTGGATAGAGCACCGGCCCTGGATTCAGGAAGACCTGAGTTCAAATCTGGCCTCAGATGCACAACACTTGCTAGCTGTGTGACCATGGGCAAGTCATTTAACCCCATTGCCTAGCCAAAAAAAAATTAAAAAAAAATTAGAATGGTTAAGTGAAAGCTAATGGCTGCATGAGACATCAAGAAACAACACAACAAAGTCATAAGATTGAAAAAATAGAAATGTGGAATATCTTATAGGAAAAACAACTGACCTAGAAAGTACATAGAGGAGTCATAATTTAAGAATTATTAGACTGCTGAAAAGCCATGATTTTAAAAAGAGCCTAGATATCATATTTCAAGAAATTAGAATGAAAAACTGCCCAGATATCTGAGAACCAGAGGGCAAGGTAGTAACTGAAAAAGCTACTGGTCATCTCTTGAAAGAGATCCCAAAATGAAAACTTCCAGGAGCATTATAACCAAACTTCAGAGCTCCCAGTTAAGGAGAAATGACTGCAAGCAGCCAAAGATATACATATATACCCACACACACACATACCTTGGAGCCACAGTCAAGATCACACAAGCAGCTACCAGTTGAAAGGAGTGGACAGCTTAGAACAGGGGTGGGGAAACTGCGGCGTCGAGACCAGATGTGGCCCTCTAGGTCCTCAAGTGCAGCCCTTGACTGAATGAAGCATTTGAGGACCTAGAGGGTCACATGTGGCCTCGAGGCCATAGGTTCCCTACCCCTGGCTTAGCATATGATGTTCTTGAAAGCAAAGGAATTAGAATGACCACTAAGAATACCATTCCCAGAAAA